AGTATATATATACATTTTATTTCACTGTAATCTAAACTAAAAAACGAAAACAAGATTTCTATTACCTAAGGAAACAAAAAAGGTTATAATTCGAAATTGAGTGCAAAAGAATTTTTCAGAGAGAATTTTTTAAAATTGTATATTAATTTTATTCAAAAAGTTATAGTGAGATACAATATTTTTGAACTGTTTTGCTGATAACTCAAAAAAAGTTTCTTACTCAATATTGTAGAAAGACTCAATTCAAGTACGAAATCATTTATACAAAAAAAAAAAAACACATCAATATCGAACAGAAAATAATTTTGATGGAATTAAGTTATTTTTTGTAACTATGCAACATAAGGTCAATGGTTATACACAGAATACGCGATTGTAATTTGTATATTTTATTGTAGTCTTAAATCTAGTTATCATCAAATATATACAAAAATTAGAAAATAAAAATGTTTAAAATTTAAACTCTTTATATTTTTTGGATGATTTACTATCCTGGTTCTGTTGACGTTTTCTTTTGCTCTGAAAAGTAAATAAAAAAAATACAAAATTAGCAAAGCGTTAAAAACTAACATATACTGTGGTCTACACAATTAAAAAAATAATGTATTACCTTTTGTCGCTGTACATGATCCTGCAACATATCAGACAGATCTTCTCGTCGCAAAGCCTGCCTGTTGCGCATAGTTTCCTCGTAGCGGGTTGCCATGGCTTCTGAGTCCAAATCCAATTCACTCGGATCAAGAGCCAACTCGACAGCTCCTTCCCTTTCCGTCGCCCTAACTTCAGAGGTTGATACAGTACCTCGCCGAGCAGCAATGACCACTGGCGGTGCTTGACCTCCTGCGCCGGTCATATCGTACACGTGAGTGCTACCCATCATACTAGAGCCCAATCCCTCGGTTCTGCGCTCTTGCAGCACTGTGTACAAAGCCGGAGTATCGCCGCCTTCCATCTCACTTTCAATCTTTTTCTTTCTCAACTCAATTGTTTCTGGCGTTTCCAGACCAGCAGGTATAGAAGTGATACCACTCGGAGTAATAAGACCCTCTGCTCCAGGTGTAACCAATCCAGTTGCATCTTCTTTCCCTGAAAAACAAAATATTCCCGAGATTATTATGATCATTCGAAGCTTGGAAAAAGAAAATCACTAAAACACAACGACGACAATTATAATTGTTACCTTCTTCGGCTTTGTCCTCGTCTTCCTCTTCTTCCTCCTCTTCTCCCGATGACTCAGACTCTGGTTCTCCCCACATTCCTCTATCAATGTCTTCATCCATGTTGTCTTCGCCAGGGGCTCTGGACATGCCAAAGACATCGCCGTACAAGGGTCGACCAGTCTCATCCACAGGTGGCTTACCCCAGCCACCAGCATGATAACCAAAAGCACAACCCTCAGGTATGGGCGCGTTGAGCCCTGGGATCTTCAAGTTGGGGTAGCTCGGGGGTGGCCCGTAACGCTGCATGGCAATGAGCCACGGGGGAGGCACCTTCTGACAATTCGGGCCAATCGGCATGCCTAGGGCCGTGCGCAGTTCATCCGTCAGTTCACCAGGCTTCTTCTCCTTGAGACGCGTCTCAAACTCCTTGCCCTCGTAGTAGAGATCCCCATGAATGGACATTCGCGGCTTAGTCTGCCACTTGAAGAACGCATCGTGAAGCTTCTGGTAATCGATGTCGATCTTGCCGAGCTTGGGCCTAGCTCGTTCCCTCATCTTGGCCTTGAGGGTCTTGGACTCATCCTTCTCCTGGAGACTGGCGCGCATCTCGGTGATGCCAGTGCGCTTGATGAAAGCCGGCAAGTCGAAGGGCGGCTTCTCAATACCTCGCTTGCCCTGGAGGTACTTGCGCTTGAAGCACCAGTGCCTGGGCACGGGCACTGTGTTCCGGTGGGCTTTGAGCTGTACTAGAAGCTTGGGATCACGGGCCGTAACGTCGTGCATCTCGACGACGTCGGGTCGGGCGACGAGCTGCTTGAGCTCGGCCACGCTCAGCCTCGTGAGCTTCTTGAGCTTGCGTTTGGAGAGCTTCTGGGAATCTCCGTCTCCACCGGCTTGCTGCTGCTGCAATTGGAGCTGCTGCTGGGCGTCTTCCTCGTACTCGTCGCTGAGGGCACCGAGCTTCATGGCTACGGCTGCAGCAGCTGCTGCTGCAGCAGCACCGGAGTTGGGAGGGTACTGACTGATGGCCTCACCGTCGATGGGCTTCTCGGGCTCAACGATCTTGAAGGCCTCAAAAACCTTGGCGAACTGCCGGTACATGGGCTCGAGCTCGTTGACGGTCGGAATCTCCTGGACGTACTCGATCTCGGGCCCGCGGTCGGCCGAGGCCGCCGCCAGGGCATCGTTCTTTTTTTTTCTTTCCTGGGCTGCATCGGGTTGTTGCTGTCTTTTCTTCTTCTTCTTCTTTTTCTTCTTCTTCGGCCTAGAATTTTTATCCGACCTGTTGACAGACTTTGGGTACTCGCTGTCGTCATCGTCGCCATCATCGTCATCAGAGAATTGCTGCTGGGAGTACGAGTTGTGCCCGTTGTTCAACTGATGGACGAATGAATGATGCTCCATGCCAGGAGGCAGCAGTAGATCCTCCATTTCTCTTGCGCTTTCTTACGATGTGATGATAATACCTAACAGGGCACACTCGCTAATAAAGTGGTCAGAGGTTACGTTGTTTTTAGTACTCGTAGCAGTAGTGGTGCGACTGCATTATAGTATAGCTAGTATATTTACACGATCCCGTTACTCCCCTGTACCCTCACCGCTCCTCTGATGTTCGGATGACCGGTCAACAGTAACGTCAGTACCTAACACAGAAATAAACGCAATCAAATTATCACGAACATCGATGAATCGATGACATCAACAGTGCATGGTGATATTAGTGATTGGTGACGATAAGTAAGGCGAGATAAATTTGGAGATTTGTAATTTGTAACTGAGTTTGTTGAACTTATTTTTACACAAACCACCAAACACTGGAGACAAGTTTTAAAAATTATTGCTACAAACTGTTGGTAGACAACTAATTTCAGAGTTACTCTAAGCACTCGCTTGTACTTATGTGTATAGGTTTTGTGTCCGTCTGATTGAGTTCTTCGATATACGCAACATCTTTCGAGATTTCAAAAAGTTAACTTTCTGTTACGTTTTCGTCGGAAAGTTGGTGGTGTGACGATAAATCTCGAACCGTCTCGCTTAAGGGCTTAGGGTGAGATTACATGGAGTCTGGCAGTCTGCAGACTGGCAGAATCGCGCTAAGTTTAAATTACGTTTAAATTATAACATCTCTGAATAATTTAATAAAATAAAGAAAAAATTGTAATTATTGTCATAACAGAATAAAGGCTTAGTTACAATCAATTTCATTAACAATAAAACGTGTCAAATATTATTTAATAACTTTTTTTATAGATTTATGTTAACATTGCACAGTCGGTCAGTAGGGTCACTGATGTAACCTGGTATGTATAGCATAATGTAACTGTGACAAAACGTTTTTCGTCGCCTTTTTATCATAAATATTAGTTAATACAGAAATGCAAATGTATTACGATAATTATTTCTTTGCATACGTAACAGGTTTTAAATATTAATATTGAAACATATTTTAAATTTGGCACGATTCTGATAGTCTGCAGACTGCCAGACTCCATGTAATCTCACCCTTAACTCATGGTGGCGATTGAGGATTGATTACACCCGATTAATTACTTGAGGTGATGAATTTTGGAAGCTGCAAGCTCTCTGTAGGCTCTCTGCCACCATACCCCTTGTATACGACATGGTGAATATTTGAAGTTTCCAGAGTATAAGCTTTGAGTTTAAATCTCTACAAGAGTGTTAATAATTACTTAGATTATGTACAATACACAGGTGCAGAAAATTGTAGATAAGTGCATCAAACAAATAATTATGTGTAATTTGTAAAAAAAAAATGATAACTTGAGTCGACGAATCAGTAGGACTTGAAAATGATTGAGAGGAATAAAATCCGAAGTTTATACTACCCCGCGCTAAATTAACACGGCATGCCACAGAGTCGCGGTGCATGTTTTGCTCCAAAAAAGTCGAAGCCCAAAGGTTCAAACAAACGTAAGCTCAGTGCTTAATTTGTTGATAAAACTTAAGTATATAAACACGAATTAGTGAGCAGTTGAGTACGATTCCTTTACTTGTAGGTATATGTAAGGTAATAATTCCTGCTTCACTTTCTTAAAATGCATTCGCTTTATGCACCGCACGCTCCGTTGAATCTTACCTTGTAGGTATTGATGAGGTGCATTTATCTGACTTTTCGCTTCCCTCGCGTTTTTTTGTACTGTCAAGGAAATCATACGTTTACAAAAAGAAAAAAAGAAACTAAGTGATAAATAGTTTTTATTTGTAACATAGGCAGTTTTTTTATTCATATGGAAAGCACAAGTAATACCTTGAGAGTATGGCTAATGGTGTTCATCGATTTGTTAAAGTGACTGTTGCTCAGGATATAAACTATTACACCATCAAAGTGAAAAATAAAGTAAGCAAGAGGCAACTGTGATATGCATAGTCACATTAATCAAGTGGATAGCTTATCACCAACATGTTTGGGTGTCCTAGAGATGCTGTTAGAGTCAAAGTCAAGGTACTTCATCTTTTGTATTGATAGTATGTTTGATATGCTGCACTCCAGATGATTCTTATTTTTCGTTTTATTTCAGAAATGTGAAAACAAACATGATCCAGAATACAGAAAGTTTAGCGTGGATCCCCAAATAACATCTATTGAGGTTCTGCAGAGCATTTTAATAAAAGCATTTGACATCAAAGGGTATTTTCTAGTCATCTTAATACTTAAAGTATGAGACACAACTTCTATTAAAAATTTTCATTTCAGAGAGTTCACAGTTTCATACAGAGCAATAGATGATTATGGTGCAGAAACTTATTTATTTTTGTTATCAGATTGGGATTTGGATGCTGCTTTCATAAGGTAAACAATACAGGCATGTAAAATTATCAAACAGTCTCTTTCACCATAAACATCTTACACATTTACAGTGCATCAGAACCATATCTTTACTTACTGGTAAATGTTAAACCCTTTGGAGAAGCAAGTGAGTGTGAGAGTGAGTGTGAAAACGTTCAACATGTGGTACCTAGATCAGAATTCGGCTTTACATACAAGACCCCCAGATTACCTGGTATTATTATGAATAAGGTAAATGAAAAAAAATAATGTTCACCAATGACTATATCTTTCTGCTTTTCAATACAGTTCTGATTAATTTATTTAGATGGAAAAAACTTTGAATTATGTACAAAGAGCTTTAGGAAATTTCGGAGAAGATTGTATCCAAGCCAGTAATCAGCCGCCTCGCCCTCCTCTGACAGATGCAGAGTTTCGCGAATTTCTAGATCCCATTGGACAAATCACTCAGTCGAAAAAATTGCGTGCCGCGATTTATTTCGGGGGCATCGAACCTAGTCTAAGAAAGGTGATTTGGAAGTCACTTCTTAACGTTTACCCAGCGGGAATGTCAGGACGCGAAAGGATGGACTACATGAAGCGGAAGTCTCAGGAGTACACGAGTCTTAGGGACGCGTGGAAAAATTTAATGCAGAGCGGTCAGAATATCGGCGACTTGGCTTACGTGACGAGTATGGTGCGCAAGGACGTTTTGAGAACAGATCGGCATCATCCGTTTTATAGTGGATCGGACGATAATCAAAACACCGCGAGTCTTTTTAACATTTTGACGACGTATGCGTTGAATCACCCCATCGTTAGCTATTGTCAAGGAATGAGCGATCTCGCCTCGCCGCTTTTGGTAACGATGTGCGACGAGAGCCAGGCTTACATTTGTCTTTGCGCACTGATGTCGCGACTAAAAGACAATTTTATGCTCGATGGGATCGCTATGACAACTAAATTTGCACACTTATCCGAAGGTACAATGAGTATTTACGTTGTATTTTATCTTCTGCGTATTACAAGTAGTTATTCTTATATTTTTAAATTTAAGGTCTACAGTATTACGATCCCGAATTTTATGCCTATCTTAAAATGCACCAGGCCGACGATCTTCTGTTCTGCTACAGATGGCTGCTTCTAGAAATGAAACGAGAGTTCGCACTCGATGAAGCGATGAGAATGTTGGAGGTTTTGTGGGCCTCTTTGCCGGCATCACCACCACCCAATGGGGAGCTCGGCCTGGCAGACGTGAGGTTTCCACCCCCAACGCCTCCTCCCAGTCCGAACGTTAAGCAAATTCGAGAAAACGCTTACACCAAAGTCTGCGCTCTCAGACGACAAAGTTCAGCAGCGAGCATCAGCGGTGCAAGAAAACGAAATGTTAGCACCGATGAGCCAATCAAAGAAAACAGCACGAACGAAGTCTCCAGAAAGTAATGAACCCAATCAAAAATCAAATATGTTGCATTTCGTGTTCTTATTTTTACACACCAATGTAATTCTTTCAGAAACGAATTAAGGCCCATCAGGCAACAGCTACCGGATCCCGAAAGTGAGTCCCCCGACAATGTGCGGAACAAAAAAAGTATTCCTACCGAGAAGTGCCTCAGCGTGGACTCTGCGACTAGTCCAAATCCAAATAAACGATTTACCCCGTTGTTAGAGCTCGAAAAGCGGCTAAGTCCCTCGAACAGCTTGGATCAGCCGTCTAAAGCTCAAGAGGGCAAGTGCGCCCGGGTTGTTAAAAATCTCAACGAGTTTCTGAATTTCACGAGCCTCAACAAGAGCAGGATAATGCCAAGTGATGATTCCGAGCCTCCAGCTAGAGTGACAAACGATGCAAATTCCCCTGAAGATTTGACCGATTTCTTTCCCATGACCACGTCGATGACGAGAGAGCTGCGTCTGGAGCTCGAATCACTAGACCGTCAGGTAGGGCACGATTTTCATAATATTTATTCATCATCATATTTTAATACGTGACAACTGTATTCTTATTTACTATGAAAATTCGCTTGATAAAAGGTATTTGGACCTTTACCTCCACTCAACAATCAATCCTATGATGGTATAGTGTCCAAGCAAGAATGTGAAATGACTGAATTACCCAAGTATAGTCCCGCAACGGACGTTTTTATTTGGGAAAATCCTTCGCATACACTACAGAACAAGCAAAATCCAACTACTCCGGACGATCTAGCCGACGGGGAAATTTTAGAAGATCAAAATGGAGTCAAGTCCGTTACCCCCATTCGCTTATTAAAACGTACAACGAGGTGAAACATTAGATTCTGTTACATAAAAATACACCTTGTGGCACATTTATTTTCAATCGTTTGATTATACATGTATGTTTGTTGCAAGATGTGATGATATTTCGGACAGTGATGGATCCGATAGTTGGCCGACACCGACTCCATCTGTAATAACGGATCTGATAACTCCACCTGTAACTCAGGAGCAGTGCGAAGAGGTAACCGAATTAACGGCTGGTGACGATGATCATCCTGGTAGCGATTCGTTACCTCCTCCAAACGAGTTTGGCGGTGGAAATCCGTTTTTAATGTTCCTGTGTATAACTTTGCTGTTGCAACACAGAGATTTTGTTATACGCAATCAAATGGATTACAATGAAATGGCAATGCATTTTGATAAAATGGTGCGCCGTCATAACGTGAATAAAGTTTTAAATCAAGCACGGCAGCTGTTTGCGGGATACTTAAAGAGACATGCAAATAAATCAGAATTTATTAACGTGTAGAAATATTTCCTATGGGGGTTTCAAAAATTCGTTTGATAAATTACTCTCACTTATTTTATTAATGATAATTTTTTACAAAAATATTATGTGATTCTTACATTAGGAATCATTTTTATTGGTATATAAACCACGTCGCTTTATCTACTCTGTGAACCTCTCCCAAGTAGTATTTTTTGACAATGTTCTCGTAAAAATTAATCTTTTATAAATCCTGTACGTCCGTTCATATCGTTACTCCATCCAACTCTACTGAAACTTTGCTTCTACCCTGAAACTAATCAATATTAACACATTCAACATTTGATAAAAAATATTTTAAAATTTCTCCCTCACAGCTTGTATATTCCATATATTTCTTTAAACATTTTTTTTGCCTATGTACGTTCTAGTACTATTTCTCCTTTTTTAGTTTCCAACTCATTACACTGATAAAAAGTAATCCGGCAATCATTCTCATCGATCTAAGGAAATTTTAAACAACAATCAGAATCTGAAATACCGTTCGTCAATGTGAAATTCGAAATTAGAGGAATTTGACTACATTTAATCCATTCTTTATCAAATGTTTAATATAGTAGACATAATTAATTAAGTCTTGGTTGCAACATTACAGTTGAAGAAAGCTGATGAAGATGACCTATTTTAATAAGCTTTCGAATGTGATGTACAAATATTGAAATCATGGTTTCGGGCTCGTATGCCTGTATTGATTCAGCTACTTGGGTGAGGCAGTACTTATTATGGTATCAGCTACTTAGCCAAATCAGCTATCCGTATTCGCTATGCGTTTGTCATTATGGTGCTGGTTGTCAGTTTAACTCGTAAGTATTCTTGCTGGAATTTAAAGAACTTTTGTTCTGTAATATTTAACACAAAAAGTTGTTGATAACAAGGGCAGTACCATAAATGCGCATAGCGAGTATTGGGTTCCAAAACGAGTAAGACTTCATATTTCAGTTATTGTCAGCCTTTGAAATGACAAATTCAACAAATGTCGTGTTATTCCGCCACACTTTGTCACTGCCTTTAAGTGCTGCTGAATGCTATTGATGTATAAGCAGTTGTGGACTTTTAATATTTTTTCTACCTTAGTTTTAATATTAGATAATATTTCTTATGTTTTACATATAACTATTATGTATTGCGAGCAAAAGAGAAATAAGTACTTTTAATGATTTTCTTCGTAGCATGATAATTTAATTATTTGTTACGAAACTAATAATTTATTGAAGTAAAAGTTTTTTTTTTTTTTTAAGTTCGTTGGTAAATCGCCAGTTGATTAAAATTTTTAACAAACATTGTTTTCTTTATAGTTTTTTTTTTAATATCAAGGATAAAAAAGCGCGCAACTCCAGTTATTAGTAAGCATTAGATAATAAATATTTGTTTATTGATAAAAAAAGGTGATTATTTTTAAATTAAAATATATGTTAGTAGTATATGTTATTGCACAAAAATTGTATACTTTAATTCAAAAGTAAATGAAGAAAAATTATAAAAAATAAAGAAAACCCCAAACAATTGCGAATTTATGAATCGAATGAACATGAAATTTTAAGTTAATCACGTACAACAATTTTGTATGACAAACAGTGACGAGTTAACGAAAAAAAGATGATAAATATACGATAACTTGTTATAGAAAGTACATGATCTTTTTTTTTTTACATTACAAAGCTGTCGTGAAAAAACTCATTGATACTTAACAATAAGTACAAACAATGGATCTTATTGAACCCTATCGATTTGTTTGATCTAAAATGTCAGTCTCAATGTCTCAAAGCCGAATAAGATACTGTCGTAGATTATAGTTTGACTTTGCCAGTGTAGGTATTGTAAGACATTTCTATTGAATAGAATACCAAGTTTTGTATAGCAAAACAAAGACGTACACATTGGTTTCAATGAAATTTTGAAATTCAACTTTCAAAACTCAGTTGGGTGATGAAAGAACTACGAAAATAATTTCCGAACTATAATAGATGAATTCTTTTGCATGATGTTTCGAAAGACTGAGTACCACAAGAAAAACATAAAATAAAAAATTGTACCAAACAAAGTGTAAATAGTTCCAATAAAAGAAGTAGCTTTGAGCCTTGATTCGTTAGTTCAAAAACGTGAAAGAGATTTCCCAACTGGATGGACTTTAAAAACTACAAATCGAAATAAATGAATTCTTTCCAATTGCATTTGCATATCTTGGACCTGAAATTAAAAGTTTATGTAAGAAATGAAGTAACTCTTGACAAGCTTACGTATTCTGAGCAAATTTATGTGGCAATTTTCATCGACCGTGACCTTTTACCAAGAATAGTTTAAAAGAGAACAGCCTTGTATGGCGAAAAGCGATATTTTTTCATTTGTTATACTAATAAGCATCGAACGTTTAGCAAAGATGTAAATCGGCAAGCGAGCAGGCCACAGGATAGTGCACCAACTGGCTAGTTACACTGCTGGATGCACCATATTATATACTAATAATATTAATGATAAGGATAATAAGAATAATTAATAATAACGCTCGAGTGACGATGAAAAAGTAAATATGAAATAAAATCCAACATAATAAATAAAATTAAAAAAATGTAAAAGAGAGAAATTGTGCGTATGACAGATGCATACGAGGAGCTTTTTAGAGAAAAGCTTGATTCAATTTAAACAGAGCTTTTTTAATGCGCGCAAGAAATCACACCGAGTGAGGATAAAGATACCACGAATTATTACCGACCACTAGCAAAATTAAAAACGAAACGCGATCTGCCCTAAAAATGACTGACCATCGGTAATGTAGGATATTTGGTTGCCAACCGTAGAGAATCCGCGCCAACTTACGTATTGGAACACCGCAAAGACATAAATATCAGTGTAGTCTTTTGCTCTCGCGATGTCTCTAGTTGAATCGATTTTTTGTCCCAGTATCGGTTCAACAATCAAGCATTTCCGTTTTTCACCGCACTCGTGATGCACAACCGCATAAATACACACACAAACACTTGTTCTCCCTCAAAAGTATGCCTTTCCAGGTAAATGTGTGTAGCAGAGCTGCAGGGTGTACAAAGTGGACGGGGGTGTGTATATCCATATAAATATGCACGCCCCCGCGCGTGGGCGTATTCTCGGCCCTATGTCACCCGACGACGCGGCTACACGGCTGCGTCTTATCAGCGCCGGAGCATCGCCTTGTCTCGCGTACACGCACCCGTGCGGACGCGGTGCCATTCTTTTTACTCGACGGGGTCGATTTATATTTTGCAAAGTTACACATAACAGGGGGAAGGCGGTTTATCCTGCCGAGGGAACGAGAGGCTTATTTATCGATCCGATGAATTAGTTTTCAGGAGCGACTTGACCAATTCTTTTTTTTTTTTTCCTTTCTTTCGTCTTCCTTAGGGAGATAATAATAACTGGCGATGTGCCGCCAAAATATACCCTATTGGAGTTTCGTATTTATATATGTATGGTAATAACTTAGTTGGTGTATGTACCTACGTAGAGCTGCCATAGACATCGTACGAGGGCTTCGTCGCATTCACAGTTTTTCTGTCATTTTCCTCACGTGTATTCTTAAAATAGTAGTTTTCGTCACAGAAGCGCCAAGGCCAACGGGGCTATTTTGCAGTTACAGGAGCCGTAGGGTAGTCCCAGTTACTTAGATGGCGCTTAACTGTCGAAAAATTCATTTACTTACTTCTGGTATTGGTGAACCAGCCATTTAACCTTATATTAATTTTCAGTGCTGGCAAGATGATTGGTTGGAAACATGTAATATTTTGCAGCAGTTTATAATTATTAATTTTTTACGCTATGCTAGACGATAAATCTCACCCGAACAAAAATGAATTTGAGGCTCACACGCGCTCGCGTACAACTTGGTCATTGACTTGTCTTGAGCCAAGAACTTTGACCATAACTCGTGTAGCCGTATTCAAGCCGTATATGCACGTGAGTACTTATATGCAAAAGTGTCCTAGGGAGACCTCATGAGAATTTTGCTTTCACTTTTGCACATATTTTTTTTTTTTTTTTTTGATGAATTTATTGTGTTCCATAAGCGACCGAGCACAAAAGTTATAAATTGCGACGATGGTCCAAGAGTGTAGAGCATTTTTTTTTTTAGTAGTTTTTTTCTGCTGCCTACACAGAGTTATGTATACGTAAAGAATGGATCCTCGCGCAAGAGCACTTTCTTCTGCGGCCTCCTTTGCTCGATCGGGCAAATTTTTGCGTCCGTGCACAAACAAATGAATTATTTTTATCGAGTCCTCGATTGTTATTTTCTACCCTCGCAGAGCTATTTATTTTTTCAAAAAGCTTCAAGCGCTCGAGTAATTTCTCTTTGATTCGCCATATTATAACGAGTCAACTTGCGAATTTTAGTACCTACATTTCTGAAAAAAAGAAAAAAGAAAAAAAAAGAAAATGTTTAATCGCGAACGTTTCAAGGAGTATCGAGTAGACAAAGGTTTGATTACTCTAACGGCGACGAATCAATTTACAAGGCCACCCCCGCCATCTTTCTACATTTATAGTTATACGCATGCAACTGCACTCGGCAAAGCGACAGCATCGATTCCACGTAAAACAGCGCGCGAATCGCACTGTTCGAGTCTCAAAAAATGCGCACTGAGTGCGTACAAGCAACATTGAACGAACGAAAAAAAAAAAAGAAAAGGATCTGGCGAAGGGGAACGATGAGACACGCAAACTCTCGAGATCGGATCACAATGCGTTTTAGATTTAATTAAAGCTCGGTCGGCTGATGGGCTTACTAAAAAAAAAAATTAAAAAAAAATGGAATCGATCGGGTCGAAAGCTCTACAACTTACCGTTTAATCCATATATACCGGCAAGAGGGTAAACATTTAAATGAAGCCCCCCTGCTGACCGCTGAATCTACAAAAGCGCGACAAGAGCCCGCTGTTCGCATAGAGCTGTCACACACGTGTTAATTAATTCGAGGAGATAGGCAACGTGGCTGTATAGGTAGATAATTGTGTTTGTTCCTTCGAAAGAGGTGGTCGGAGGCGGGGAGGGGTAGGAGAGAGAGAGAGAGAGTTAGCCGTACAAGAGCCGTCGATTGGCTTCACCAAACTCGCGTACACACGCGAGGTGATTTTGCATGCATGGTATACATGTCATGTATAGACGGTGTTGGGTGTGCCTCGCGTATCGAACCAAAGTGTCGGGTGTTGAAGTTACACCAACTGTATTACATGCACGCACGATAAAGCTGCACCGATCTGTATAATATGTATACCTACATTGTCGATTGGCCCAACTGCTTCTTTGTTGCACGCGCATGCATGTATAAATACTCATCGCGTATACAGAGGTATAAGTATAGATAGCCGTTCTCGAGAACGCGCAAAAACCTATACATCGACACACATCTATTTTTAAGCTTTTGGTTTAATTTTCTTCATGCCCACGAGTATAAAGTATATGAAGCAAAGAACATTTTACATTTATGTAGCTAAATGCGCATGCAATCATTGCCAATGATACTTATTGGGGTGGCCTTAATACACGTACACTCCCAACAATAAACATCTACATTGTTTTCGAGAAAATAAATAAACTATATACTGTATTAAAATTATTTTCCGGGTATTTTTGGAATGGAAAATGT